GTTAAGGACCAAGTGTCTTTAACTTTTGAACTTGTAAGTCAAAGTTCAGGAGCATGTGTCTTTAACTTTTGAACTTGAAACTGAAACTTCAGGACCAAGTGTCCTTAACTTTTGAACTTGGAACTCAAACTTCAGGACCAAGTGTCATTTACTTTTGAACTTGAAAGTCTAAGTTCAGGACCATGTGTCCTCGACTTTTGAAATTGAATCCTTAACTTTTGAACTTGGAACTCAAACTTCAGGACCAAGTGTCCTTATTTTTTGTACTTGGAACTGTAAGTTAAGGACCAAATGTCCTTACCTTTTCGACTTGTAAGTTAAAGTTAAGGACTATTTGTCCTTAACTTTTGAACTTTGAACTCAAAGTTAAGGACTGCCTGTCCTTAACTTTTGAACCTGTAAGTCAAACTTAAGGACTGTCTGTCCTTAACTTTTGAACTTTTAACTCAAAAGAAATAAAAAGAATGTAAGTAGAAAGAAATTTTGAAAATTCAGACATATGCTCAAATAAGAATAATCTAAATGAATCCAATTTATAGCAAAAACTTAAAAGAGTCGATAAACATAAGTGGATATATCTACTATTCTCGATGCTTTCTTGAAACTGGATGGACTGCCGGAGAATATATACAAGTTGTTCTATTATGACCAATTCTTCTGCAACAACCACATTTGAATGTTATTTTTGATGACTCGGTAACTGGAATATGCCTTTTCTTCTGCCTTCTACCTGATGGCACTTTGAAATCTGGAGGTTTAACAATTTGTGACTTAACATTTTCTGGTACAATCCAAAAATCAGTATGTCCTACATGATGTATTTGTCTTTCATATTTTTTCAGCCAAGATTCCGTTAAGTACCAGTGCGAGCAAAAGTTGGACTTCTTGATGTTTCTCTTCTCGATAGCTGCAATTGCATGTATGCATGGTAATTCATCAAATTGAAACTGAAAACAATTATATGTTCTTTTGTTTAAGTCCACCAAGAAAGTTATTTCTTCTTCTTCAACTCTAGAACGCCATGAATCAACAGGAAAGACCTTCAATGTTGAAAAATTATAAGTTAGTACATTATGTTAAATTATATTAAAATAATAACCTAAACATAAAACATAATACTTACATTCAAAGTAAAATGCTAAATCTATCTTTTTCTTCAATTCCTCCTCTACCCAACAAGAAACATCATAAAATGTTCCTTCTGCTTCATTTCTTCTTTCATAAAACCAACGTTGTAGCTTCACTTGAATGAATCCATCATTCTTAATATAGGCAGCTCCCTTGCTTCTAATAGGATAGAATTCATTGACTCAACTATATTTGTTGTGAGCATGTCATATCTTCGTCGTGGACTACAAAAACGTGCCCACGTTTCCGATGGTTCTTCCATCAAGTAGTCATAAGTCTTCTTATCTACTTTTGCTATATCCGACATGTAAAGATCAAATTCTTTGCGCCTGTACTCTTGCAGCAGTTTGAAAAAGTTTTATGACCTCACTTTTCACTTTCCTTCGCTTTAGGTTCTGCTCCAAATGATAGATACAAATTCCATGGTGGCTTTCAGGATATACCTTTGCGATGGCATATGCAATAGATTGATGCATATCTGATAAAAAAATTAAATTCTCACGACTTCCAATTGCATTGCGAAGCTCATTAAAGTACCACTCATAGGAATTGTTATTTTCAGATTTTGCTATTCCAAAGGCTAGTGGGAAAATTTGGTTATTTGCATCCTTTGAAACTGAAATCATTAAAACACTACGAAATTTTGACTTCAAAAAAGTTGCATCAACAACAATCACTGGTCTACAATGATTCCAACCAGATATTGATTATCCATATGCATAAAACATATAAAGAAACCTGAAAATACAGTATAAAACAAGGTTAACAGAAGTTAAGGACATACAGTCCTTAAATTAGACTAACAAGGTCAAAAGTTAAGGACAGGTAGTCCTGAACTTCAGGTTACAAGGCCAAAAGTTAAGGACAAGTAGTCCTGAAGTTAGACTAACAAGGTCAAAAATTAAGGACATGCAGTCCTTAACTTAGAGTTACAAGTTATAAAGTTAAGGACATGCAGTCCTTAACTTAGAGTTACAAGTTATAAAGTTAAGGACATGCAGTCCTTAACTTTGAGTTCAAAGTCAAAAGTTAAGGACATAGAGTCCTTAAATTTTTGCATTTCTGCCATGACAAAAGCTGGTGTAACTTCAAACCTTGGGTCTCGAAGATTGTCGATAATGTAACCACTAATCAACTTTGAAGTTGCATGCCTTTGATCATCTTTCATAGTGTTAACATAGCAGTCATGATTTTTCTCAATCTTTTCTATCTTGAACAATGTTGAATCTTTAATTCTGAAAGCACGCACACACCACCCACACCTATCATCATTGCATTTCAATGAATATCTTGTTGAGATTGATCTAACAACCTTGAATTCCAAATGTCCTTTAATTGCTATATTCGAAAAAAGTTAATTATACTCTTATTTTTGTCAAATATTGATCCCACTTTTATTTCATCCAACGAAGCATTTTCTCTTAATATCGTAGTTAGGGATTCTTTTTTTTTTTCAAATTTGACCTTCGTCTAGTTAGTTGAGTAGAGTTTTTTTCAGAAACTTCTTCGATTACCGGTGCACTCTCTAAGACTTGAATACCCAAAGCTTGTTCGTTGTCAATCTCTATAATGCTTTGTCCTTCTACTTGAGCAGAATCAAAAATTTGAAGCACCTCTTTAGTTATTGGTTGAGCTTCAACCATATCTATTTCCATTATCTGTTGGCATTTGTTTTGATTGTCATGTTGAGTTTCTCTGTTGACATGTTCAAAGGTGCTTGTTGATCCAAAAACTCTTTCCGAAATATCAACAATGAAACGACAGCCTTTGAAGAGTGAATGACTTTTTAGGAACTCTATACATGTGTGAAGATCTAAATCTTTGGATACAAGCATTCCTTTGCTTGTTCCAAGGTTGATATCAAACCATATCACTACTTCAAACTTGTCTCTATCCGATTCAATAATTTCAAAGGTCTGTTTAATGAAATCTTCAAACCGAACTGCCTCAGGTACTAGAACAAGCTTTGTTTGATGATCAAGATATTTATAGTCTTCAGTCCATCTACTATTAAAAGCAACTATAATGCATATTGTTTTCATCCTGCAAGTCAAGAGAATGGGAAACACTGAACATATTTTATAGAGCCATCCTTATATAATTAAAAACAGGTACTGTAAGTTAAAGACCAAGTTAAGGACCAAGTGTCCTTAACTTTTGAACTTGGCATTTAAAGTTAAGGACCAAGTGTCCTTAACTTCATGACCAAGTTTCCTTAACTTTTTAACTTGGAACTCAAAGTTCAGGACCAAGTGTCCTTAACTTATGAACTTGGAACTTAAAGTTCAGGACCAAGTGTCATTAAGTTATGAACTTGGAACTGTAAGTAAAGGACCAAGCGTCTTTAACTTTTGAACTTGTAAATAAAAGTTCAGAACCAAGTGTCCTTAACTTTTGAACTTGGAATTCAAAGTTAAGGACTACATGTCCTTAGCTTTTTAACTTGTAACTCTAAGTTACGGACCAAGTGTCCTTAACTTTTGAACATGTAAGTTAAAGTTCAGGACCAAGTGTCCTTAACTTTTTAACTTGAAACTCAAACTTCAGGACCAAGCGTCCTTAACTTTTCAACTTGAAACTCAAACTAAGGACCAAGTGTCCTTAACTTTTGAACTTGAAATTGAAGTTAAGGAATGCCTGTCCTTAACTTTTTAACTTGTAACTCTAAGTTAAGGACCAAGTATCCTTAACTTTTGAACATGTAAGTCAAAGTTCAGGACCAAGTGTCCTTAACTTTTCAACTTGAAACTCAAACTTCAGAACCAAGTGTCCTCAACTTTTTCAAAACAATTTGCAAAACTATGACAGTATGTCCTTAATATTCAAAAGAACAACAAAAAAGTTAAGGACATTGTGTCCTTAACTTTTTCAATTCAGTTTGAAAAATCAGGACTCTATGTCCTTAATATTAGCAACAACGGTCATGTTAAGGACACCAAATCCTTAACATTATGAGCTCACTTTTTATAGAATTATCACAGGACGTGATGTACTTAACCTTAGCAATCCAGAAATTAAAAAAAAAAAAAATCAAATTCCTAGAATCAAATTCATGGTAACGAAATAAAAATCAATAGAAATACACAAAAGCATAACTTAATTTAAATTTATGTCTATTTTTGGACGAGAAAGTTGAATTAAATAGTTTCAAATCGGAAGAGAAGCTTCTGCAATTCTAGAGTTTGAAATTTGACGATCACAGTCTGCTGCTGCTGATTGTCCAGTCAGGTAAAAGTTAATAAAAGCGTAGATATAAGTTATAGTAGAAGGGTATTTTCGTCTAGTCAGGTAAAAGTTTATTAAACCAGTGGCTAAAGACTAAAAACATTTAAAATACTGGCTTTAAAGTAAAGATAAGTGCTCTTAATAGCTATTTGTGCACATCGCCCCACAAAAGAGTATTAGGTTGTTAGGGCCCAAAATGATGGAGTTCAAACATGTGCTCTTAATAAGAGAGTGTCTCTTAACACTCTCTTATTAGATATTCCCTCCGTTCATATGTTTTGATTTTTCACGTCCTTTGAGAAAAAGTAAATGAAGTATATATTTTATAATTTTATCCATAATAATGATAGTAATTTCAAAAATTTTAGGAAATGATTTGTGAAATAAATAATTAATGATAAGAGTAAAACCGGAAAACAATATTATCTTTCCCTTAATTTAGTATAGTGGATAAGTAAAAGTGAAAATGTATTTTTAATATAGTGGACAAATAAAAGTGAATGGAGTAGTAGAAATTGTATTGTTTTTCTTTTTTAGTTATATATTTCTAGTATATATATCTAATTTAGACATACTGTAGCATTAAGCCATCAAATAAATACGAGTAAAAATCCAATACTAATTCACGTAGGAGAAGCTAAATGATGGTATAGAGAATATGTTAGTACCCATAAAATGAAGTAAATGTACTAAAAATATTCAATCAAATTGCTGATATCGTTAAAGTGATTGCTCTTTCTCAATATGCCCTAAATTTTATAGGTTCTTCAGCCATTGTATCACTATAAATGTAAATAAGCGTATTGCATGTTCAATTGACTTCTTTTAGTCTGAAATTGGGTGAATATCGATCGATAAGCAGTGCCGTTTGAACATGTCTGCGTCAAAGAAAGACCAAACAAACGACGGTGACAAGAATGGCAGGAAACGTAATCTTCCTTCATGGATGAGTTCAAGACAAGCCTCAAGTGGTTCAGCTCAGAGTAACGAAGCCGAGAATGAAGCAAAAGTTTCTACATCGACTTCGAGCGGTTCAAATTTCTCAAAACTTATGGTAAATTTTTGAGTTTTCCCAAATCGTAGCTGTGTTTGTTATGTTATGGGCCAAATGGAGCGGAATGATTAGTCAAATAGTCAGCAGTAACTAATTTTAGCTGTTTTTGTAATGTAATTGGCCGAATGGAGAAGAATGAATATAGAGGATTCAAGTAGTAGACTAGTACTGATTTTAGTTTTGTTTGTTTTGAAATGGGTCAAATAGAGCAGAATGAATACCTACGATTTATATTGGACACAAGCTAATTTTAGCTGCATTTGTTATGAAACGGGTAGGATAGGTTAGAAAGAATATACAGTGCTCATTGTCCGACCACTAACTAATTTTAGCTGGGGTTGACATGAAATGGGTTAAATAGCACAGAATGAATATATAGGACTCACATAGTTGAACCTAGTTAATTTTAGCTTCGTTTGTATGAAAATGTGGTGAATGGAGTGGAATTTAATACTCGGCATTTCATATAGTCGGCCCTACTAATTTGGGAATAGTTGACTGATTGAGCTCGTTTGTTGTTTCATTTAAATCTTGACCACTATTCCATATTCTGAATGCTGCAGGAAGGGGTTGTATTTGTGCTATCAGGTTTTGTCAATCCCGAGCGTGGTACATTAAGGTCCCAGGCTTTAGAAATGGGAGCCAAGTATGAACCTGATTGGAACTCGGGTTGCACACTCTTGATCTGTGCATTTCCCAATACACCAAAGTTTCGGCAGGTTGAAGCAGATAATGGAACAATTGTATCAAAGGTAGCTCTTTCCTTTTAAGTTCTATAAATGACTTGATTTCCTGCAAGTCCATTATGACAGAAAGGAGGCTGATGTACTAGGAGATAGTGATGCACCAAGTAATACGTGTTTCAACGAAGAAATGCTGCTTTGTAGGCTTCAATTTTGTCATTGTGTTTGAAATAGAACTATATGCTTGCTCCTGTTCTCATGGAAAATTTTTGTGCCAATTTCCTTCTGCTTTCTATGCGTGTGTGATCCTTTCTATGCTGTTACCTTCTCAAAAATATTATTCTGTTTGATCTTTTCTATTTTATTAATGCTATTTCCTCCGCAGAAAATGATACTTCAATCTGTATATGAACATGAGAGTGTTTTAGACCTAGATGTGGATCTTACTTTTTTGATATTTCTGTAATATCAAGGGATAACTTACTTGAGACAAAAAACCTGATAGAAGTATTTGTTTCTTTTTTGTTGCGACTTCCTTCTGTTTTATTCATCTTTTTTTTTTTTTGCGGGTTGGGCAGGGGGTGCTTTGCGCTGTATGTGGAAGTATTAGGCATCCACATGACATGAAAATGAGGGATTACCAGTGGGTGTTATTTTGTTCAAATTGGTTCACGTTGAGCACCTTCTTTATGTGGGGACATGGGGTTACTATTGGAATTTAATTTTTATTCTACAAACTATGCTCTCTCTAAGACTAAAGGTTTTTGCTTGTTTTGTGCAGGAGTGGATAACAGAGTGTTATAAAGAACGAAAACTTGTTGAAATTGAAACTTACCTTATGCATGCTGGCAAACCATGGAGGTGTCAAAGTGTCTCTCATGAATCCAGCCAAGGTTACCTCTCTCTGTCTTTGTCTATCCTCCTCTCCCCCATCCCACCCCACGCCAAACACGCAGACTATTTGTGTTTTAAACAAGGATGGGACTCATTGAACTCAATATAGTGAATGATACTTCTAACTAACCCATGTTTCAGTCATAATAGAGATAGGGTAGAACATTTGTCAATGCTGAAAATTGCATAGACAAGTGCAAGAGACACCTGAGATGAATTTAAATGGGGAATATGGTTAGTGAGGAACTGAGGATTCATATAGCGGACCCCTACTTGTTTGAGGCTGAGGCTTGTTAAGCGCAAGAGACTATGTCTTAGTCCACCCTGTCCACATTTAACTTATGGTTCCCCT